TAATATTATTAAAATTACAATTACAACAATAAAAGCTAATACAAACTAAAATAAAAAAATAAAAAAAATAGAAGGTGCAAAAAAGAAAAAAATAGAAAGAAAAATAGAAAAGAAAAAATAAGAAAGTAGTAAAGAAAAAGAAAAGAAATATATAAAGAAATGACTTTCCTCTTCATCACAAGTATAACAGTTTTAGTAACTTACCACCTTCTCTTAAAATACAACAATAATCTCTTCTTCCCATATCCCATCTTGTATCTATAAACAAATCCTTAAATCTTGTCATTTCAGTCCTGATGTCAGCAAAAGTCCATTAAGGGTTACCAGATATAAACATATTTATTTTAATCTTGATCAAATAAACCAACCTTATATTCCTTCCTTTTATTTCTAACAATCTTGATCTTTAGTCCCTTCAAATAATGTCATAGAACTTGATTTATTTTCATTTTTCTTTGTCCCTTTTCATAAAATTCTTCAAAGCTTTAACAAGCCTCTTTTGTAATTCCATTATAGGAAAATCATCCAGGTGACTCTCTTGGTTTGTTATATGTATATCCCTTTTATTTATTAAGACATTAACCAGTTTCTTTTGTATGTCCAGTGTAACATCTTTTTCCATGTCATTCTCACAACCTGTCATTTTTAAATCCACTTTCAAATCAGTCTCAATCTTGTCAGGTAAAACTTGTTCCTCTTCTGTAACATCTTTTAAACACAGCCTATCTCTAGAGGCAGACACTCTAAAATTAACTTCTGGGCCCCTTGTTCAAAAATATCTTCCAATATGTCCAGCGTTAAAATATTTTGCTTCATTCTGGGTTTGTAAGACGAGTTTGAGTGTTCTTCTCCTTTAATTGTAATCTTTAGTTCCTTCCAGTTCCCTCTAGTGTCCAATTTTTAAAGTCTTTTTTTTTTTTAAATTCAGAATGAAAGCATTTTCCCATGGGAAGGATTCTTTATAATTAATTCTAAAATCTTATTTCAAATTTATCTGAACCCTTAGTCTGTTTGAAACTTTCTAAAATCAAAGTTTTAATCACCCTTTTGCTGTTTATTAAAAAAAAAAAATCCTTAAACTTGTAATTAAAACTTCTTTTGCTAAGGATTGAAGGAAACTCACCCAGTGTTGTAAAACTTGTCGATCCAAAGGTTCCTAATAGCTGAAAAGCAATTAACAAGCAATTTCTGAAAGTGATTAGAAAAGGAAGTATGTGAACCCAACGTCCTTTCAAAGGTGCTGATCATGGTTTGAGCAAGATGGCTATTTTCTCATCTCCCATGGCTCTAAACTCACTATAGACCCTGTCTTGTGGTCTCCTTGTGAAGACCAACTGCATGGAGCACTTGTGAGCAATTTCAAGTCCTCTCCTTGTCCGGAGAGGAATTACGAAGAGCTGGTCTACTTGCCAGCTCTTCATTCTGCTGTAGTTGTCGGCTCTGCTTTTGCGGAGCCATCTTCAGTCTGCCATTTCTTCCCCAGAACCTTAAGTATGCCATATCAAAGCACAAAAAAGATATGGTGTGTTGTTCTTCATTGACAGAAGAGGAAATGAACGGTGTGAAATGGCAGATTATCTACTAGTTCAAGTCTGACTCAAAAAGAAGGTACTTTTTGAGAGTGGTGACCAGAGAATTAAATATGCTAGCCCCAGCAGTTGTGGCTTATACATCTGATTCAGACGGCTTCCACTGGATTGAACATCTTTCCAACCCCTATTTTTGACACTTACAGCTGGGGAGATAGGAAGGGATGGCTGGTGGTAGATTGCTTATCTTGACAACAGTTTTTTTATGGCTGTTGCACCAGAATCCTCGCTGTCTCCATCCTGTCACCAGAGAGGTACCTTGTGTTTGCATACTTAGAAATAAGGCCCTTTGAATTCTTTCAGAAGTAGTCCCAGGATACTATTGTAGCCTCATATTAATTTTTATATGGGTGTGACTCTGACTTAGATGTATGTTTTTAAAAAATAGTAGTAATTGTCAAAAACAAAAATAAGATGTTCATTGAAATCCTGTCCACAAAAGGACATTGATTGCAATGAAAGAGACATAGCCATTTAATTATGTCTCCTTTTTAAATCAACAGGCCTCAGAAGTGCACATTTTTTGTTGATTGCTACAGATGTCAGTAAATGTAGAAAACAACTGGAGAACTGAGATACCAGGGAAAACAGCCACTAAGATAAAATAGTTTTGATTGATGGCATGGATGGCCAATCTAAAATGGAAGAGCTGAGAGTTTGTGGAGCTCCTGGAGAAGAGGAAGGCTTTTTTATTTTTGAAGAATGGCACTATAGCCTATGTGGATTCTATAAGCATATTTGGAAATACAGATGATGCTAGAGGCTGGCAACTTATTTGCGGCAGGCCAACTTTCCATTCCAAATTTTAATTAAATGGATCTTGAAAAACAAGAGACAGGAAGAATAAGGAACTTGCTGGTGACCAGGGGAGATGGTCTTGGGTAGGTTAGTGCCAGTCTGCACAATGTTAACTACCTTTTGGCAGTCCTATAAACCTATTACATTTTCTTTCCACATCTGTTTGTCAAATCAGGGGAAAGCTGCAAGCAACATTTTATGGATTTGTAACTTTTGCTTCCAAAGGATATTGAAACCATAAAACACTTAAAAGATTACAGTGGTACATTATATAGTACTTTCATTTCTGACAAATATAATCCCACCCACTCTTATTTTCTGCAGCTATATCTGCAATTTGGAGCATTATAAAAGGAAATCATCTAAAGCTTGAATATATATTAAGCAGACAACTGAAAATCTTTAGTTATGGTATGCATTAACTCAGAGATACTAGCTGAATACAGATATTGGACTGGATCTGGGTCAATTTTGAGCAATCTGTTCTCCAACCCATTCTGTTTAGACTTCTCTTTGTTTCATTTTATAAATAGACAGCAATACATATCACCTACAATTGCTTATAGAATCATAGAATCATAAAGTTGGAAGGGACCTTTGATGCTTTTAGTCCAACCCCTTGCCCAGGGCATGAATCCTCAGATCATCCCAGGCAAAAGACTATCTAAGCTTGGCTTGAAAATCTCCAGTGATGGAACACCCATGACTCCAAGAGGTAGGCTATTCCTTTGCTTAAGGCCTCTCACAGTCAGTAATTCATCCTTATTTCAAGTTTGGATCTGTCTCTGTAAAACTTCCACCCATTGGTTCATGTCCTATCTTAGTCCTTTGGAGAATAAATCTGTACCCTCAGCCCTGTGATAGCCCTTCACATATTGAAAGTCTTGTCTTCTTTAAGTTAAATGTACCAGTTCTTTTAACTGTTCTTCATAGGAGTTATACTCCAAGTCCTTCACTATCCCTTTTGCTCTTCTCTGCACTCCTTCCAGTCCTCAGTATCCTTTCTCTGTGGTGACCAAAACAGGCCATAGTATTGCAGATGCAATCCAACTAGTGCAGCATAGAGCGGAACTTCCTGTGATTTTGTCATTATACCTCTGTTGCTGCAGCCTAAGATTGCATTAGTTCTTTTAGAAGCCGCAACACACTACTGGCCATGCTCGGTCTGTGGTATATCAGGGCACATAGATCCTTTTCACATACAGCTGTTGAGCTAGGTACCACCTATCTTGTAGCTATACATCAGACTTTTCTCTCCATAAATGTAAGTTCAGAACTTTACATTTCTCACCATTGAACTGCTTTTTGTTGGGAAAGACCCAATGTTATTTATCATATTTATATAGCCGGCCATCTCACACAAAATGACTCTGGCGTACAACAATTAAAAAAGAATAAATACATAAAAACAATTACAAATAAAAAAACTATAAAAGCACACATAACAGGAGGGGATAACATTAATAAAGGAGCCATTGCAAAATCTCCCTGGTCCCCTGGGAGCCCCAGGTCTGGATCACATAGCCAGGTCTTGAGGGACTTGTGGAAGGTTAAGAGGGATGGAGCTAATCTCCCTTCGGGGGCGGGGACAAGATTCCACAGGGCGGGCACACACACACACACACACACACACCATATGTATATATATGAAATGACAAGTCCCAGCCATCCTGTCCCTCTTCCTTGCAGAAATTGAACCTGTTAAATGCTCATAGATGTTGAACTTCTTTGTGGAAAGGACACAACACACTGGGGTTGGGAGTAGAACAGAGTCGTCTGGAGAGGATGGCTGATGAGCTAGCATTTTTTATTCTATACTCTATCAGTTGATTGCAGGAGCTGGTGGATTTTATTTCTATTTTATAGCTTTCTGACCAAAAAGCTTTCTAGAAAAGCAAGGCAGCTTCCAAAAAAAGAACAAAATATAATTGTAATGAAATACAACCACTGTTAAAAGCAGAAGTTGAAACATTTCAAAAGCCAGCACCACACTCATGTTAATTTGAACAGTTTAAGGCCAGGAGCAAAATAAAACTTTAAGAAGTTAGCCTCTTAATGAGAAGCAGCTCAAAGTCCTGATTAAGAGCCTGCAGTGAAGGAAGGCAACATAGGACACATTCCCCAATGTAGTTTATATAATCTTAGGGTATAAACCTTTGCATTTTACAGCTTCAGAAAAGAACTATTTGTTCATTCTGTAAGTTAGTTCTTTCTCTGGGAGATTGGGACAAATCTTTAATTTGCATATCCCAACTCTATCCTAGCATGGCCATCTTGCACACTACATTCTAGACTGGAGGAAAATATCACGAGTTATACCAGTAGTACATACTGGTAGTACATACCAGCAACTCATGACTGGAGGAACCAAAAAGACCTCCATCAGGATAGATTATGTCTGTAATCTGAAAGTTGTGTGGCTTTCTTTCGCGTGCATTTTCATCTTTGTAAGATACATGCTTGCTAAACAACATAAATCTAGAATCTATCAGAATTCCTCCTTGAGTAAATTCTGAAAGCTTCTCCATTTGGGCTATCCTGGTTTACAGAGATGGTAATAAAATGTTGTTTTTTCCTCCCCTCGCTCCCCCGTCCTTTCTATGCATCATTTAGGCAACAAGAGCTGCATTAACCCAACACTGTGAAAATCTGGGTGACTCGCTGGGCAAAGAAAATGATATTGCTTTGATTATAGATGGCCAGACTCTGAAGTATGCCCTTTCCTTTGAAGTCAGGCAGTCCTTCTTGGACCTAGCACTGTCCTGCAAGGCTGTCATTTGTTGCAGGTAAGAAAGTGTCACGATCTTTATGCTGGACATGCAAAAAGCAGGAAAATGTAGATTTCAAGCTTGTGGAATCTACTGTGTGTTTCACTGGGCCCTTGGATTCACCAGGTGCAGAAGACTTTATGATGAAAGAGTGTGATGCCCCTGAGCTGCTGCTGAGTGTAGGAATTTGTTTTCTGTACTGATACTATTCACCTAAAACTCAAGCCTAACTCTCCAGTGTTCTTCATTTCAGCAGTCTATTTTAGGGAAGGGAGAGAGAGAGAATATTTGGTGGAGCTATTATTAAGCAGTCAGAATACAGGCATCTGTGTCTGTCTAGTGACAATTTGCCAGGAGATCCCAAAACTTCTTTTTGACTATTCCTGGTGTATAGTACAATAAATTCTACTTTACAGTAGGTTTGCTACTTCTGATGGTTTAGCTCTGGAGAGGCATGACACAAATTCTTTCTGCTGCAGGTTAAGTAACCAATCCAAAAAATGTAGTTTATATCTTGTACGTTCTACTGTGATGCGCATAAAGCAGTAAGGGATATGTAGGCTTGTATTGGAAAAGATCTCCATTTGGAATAGCTTGCCAACAGAAAAATATATTTCATATTAGGATACGTCTTTCATCTGGAAGTTGGATTGCAGTGATATCGTGAGCAAAGTACAGCTTAGTGGCCTGTCGGAGGAATAGCACAGTGGAGTGAGGTAGGCAAGACAGACAAGAACCAAAATTGAGGACAGCAGTATTACATGCAGTTAGACAGAACATTAGCAGGAGTTGTAATTCTGGCACAGAATATAAAGGGCTGAGTTGACCCAGAAGAGTAATGCAATGTTTGCATTGCATTATTTTATTGCAATTGTGAAAGCTGTCCAAGAAGCAGGTGGTATTAAAAGAAGCTATATAGATGTCAAGAACCACTTGGGTGTCGTGATTAAGTGGTTCCCAGGCTAGAAACCAGAAGACTGTGAGTTCTAGTCCTGCCCTAGGCACAAAACCAGCTGGGTGACCTTGGGCCAGTCACTCACTCTCAGCCCCAGGAAGAAGAAGAAGGAGAAGGAGAAGGAGGAGAAGAAGGAAAAGAAGACGGCAATAGCAAACTACTTCCAAAATCTTGCTAGGCAAAGGCGCACAAACACACACAAATAGTAGTAAGAAATAAATCCTACTGTTAGCAACGGGCAGTCAAGAGGCTTGAGACAGATCAGATTTCAGTAGCTACAACTTATTGATACAAGATCTTTATCTTTTAAAACAGCTATAAGAGAAATTTCTGCAATAATGTTTCCCAGGTTGAAGAGGGTAGCTGTACATACATGCTTGAGCGCAAGTCCACTGTACTCAATGGATTTACTTTTGAGTATATATAAGGTCACAATTGTTATCCTAACTGGTACGGTAAGGCTTCTTTAGGAGTTGATCAGAATGAATAGTTAATCTAAACATGACAACTGCCTTCCTTCTGTACTGTAAAAAGTATATCTGGATGTATTACAAACTTAAGGACAATATTAGTATTGATTGTTAAAAAATAATATAACAGTCTTGCCTTTTGCTATATAATGCTTGAAATCAAGTCAATGTATCCAGGAAGATAGTCACGTATGAGACATATTGTGGTTTTTCTTTGGTTTTGTGTATCATTTTCCAAATGCCACTTATATACTTTTGAAGTAATATTCTTGTTGCTCTAATCACTTTCAGTTATTATTTGTTGAATTAATGTTCCCTGATATGCAGCAGCTTTATGACTGCACTGACAGTTTGGCAAATATTTGAAAGACATTAACATTGGTCAGCTTCTTAGTGCTGATATAAAATAGTATTCTTGGAGAGAGCTATGGCATATCTGTACTCTGTGTTGTTAACCTCAACTACTTGTATATTTTTAACTAACCTTGTTGATGTAGATAATGGATAGAAGATCAATGTATCTACCTCTCTTTTCCTGCAAACCAGGCCCAAATTTATTGCGCTTTCATTTTTAAAGATATCTCTTGAGAGCCAGAGTCAACAGTACTTCATGGCTAGCGCCAAAGAAATGAATATACCATATATCTTAAGTATATTTAAAATTATGTTGAATGGCAAATGCAGCTGAAGTACCCCTGTGAAAATGAAAACCTAACTCCCAGTGTATGCTCCATTAAATCCTCTGAATGCATGCCATTTTATAGTGACAGTTGTGAACCATAGTCTGTCTAGATTTGATAAAATACTGTAGCATCAGGTTAAGAAATAAAAATGGACCCCAATTGTTCCCTCTTTCCCCAGTCCCATTAATACCTCTACTATTTAATTTGAAATTTCCTCTTCCCTGTGGCAATTCTGTTTTAGCTTTCTTCCTCCGTGGCTTTAAAGAGCAGCGTCTTATTTGACATGCAGAAGTATGATTAAAGCAGCCCAGAGTGGGATAAAAAATGTTTTCCTTTCTCTGCAAGCACCTGGCAAGTGAAAGGAATGTTTCTGTAAAACCATATAGGCTGTTAAAGGCATTCCTCAGTCTCCCTGGAGAAACTCCACTCTACTTTCTTTTAGTTCCCCTTTTCAACCTCTGAAATTACATCATGTCTTTCCTTTCTCCTTTGAATCATTTTACTGTATCAATATTTTATTGCACTTTTTAACATTGTTCTGTGGGGTGTTTGGTGCCTTTGAAGGTTTTTGTTTGTTTTTACGTTTCAATTTTAATTTTAAAATGCACTGGTAATTAAAACTGGCCACCCCATATGGAAAGAGGATGACTCAAGTTGCCAAATTCTTGGCAGTAGAAGGGAATTACAAGTAATCAGTCATGCTGTCAGTCAAGTAACTCACACTAAGACTTTGGAGATGGGAATTGGTTTGACTGTATAGACTACCCTTACAAGACTGACAATATCTAAAGAAAGTAGCCACAATTCAGAACGCCTAGACTCACTTATACAGTGAGATGGGCAACGTATACATTTTATTAATAAATAAATAAATAAAAATAAATTTCAAGATTCCTCTTCTCCAGTCTTGCAAGAAGTACACTGAACCAATAATTGCAATGAAATGCATTTTCAGTATGGGAGAAAGCCAAGACGTTAATGTTTGGGATTGTTGTTGTTGTTGTTG